CCTCCTCCCCTATTTCTTGTCACCACCAGCTCTCCACCCCCCACAAGCACCTAGTAAATCCTCGGCGTAGTCCCCGCCCTACTTGCCTTGAAAGCAACTGCAACCTGAACGAAGTGACGTCGCTTCGACGTCATCACCCAAATGGATGAGACGTGGTCAGTTGTGGACCGATGGAAATCCTCAGGGAAGGCGACACAAGATGGGGTATCCCACCCCCTCCTCCTCCCCTTCTCGCCCCTGACCGCGTCACCCCTCACCTCTCCCCTCTCAGGTGGAGGCTGAGCTAAAGCACATTGTCGAGAGCTTCCGGGTCCCGGCGTGACTCGACGCAAAGGTAGCGGCCACNGGGGGGGGGGGGGGGGGGGGGGGGGGGGGGGGGGGGGGGGGGGGGGGGGGTGACGCAGAGCTCTGGTGGCAACGGACAATAGTCATTCGGTACAGGGCGAGGGTTAAGAGGCGTTTGTTTTTGCTACGATAGTTAACCTCGAGGTTTTAGGAGACGGCTAAGGGTGGCGTGGGGCGGGCCATAGGTGGCGTCATGTAGAGCAAGATATTTTTTCGAGTTTCCATTCAGCATCATGTTGGTCTACAGCAGTATTTTGGGCGTGTCGCTTGAAATTGAACCACGGTGCTGCTGTGTGAACCTTAAGACATCAAGGGGGAGCAGCTCTGGACACCGCTTTAAGGAACGAGACATGTGTAACATGGTGCAGTATCCTGTTGCGACATTGCAAAGGGTTTATCCGCAGACCGAGACGTTGGGGGCATGTGTATGTAGTACAGGAAGGAGGGAGGCTGCCATACAGGGGAGATTTGCTGGTTTTTGTCGCATGGCGGGGTGGTTCCCAGCGATGGATCGTGCACGGTCGTAGAAAATATGGCGCCAACGGACCAGATAGACGACGTTGCACGACTCCCTCGACTTGTTGACTGACAGAGATCATGCCTTCTCGGGCATCAATTGGAGGTGGGTAGGTCATGAACGGTTCCCGGTAGGGGGGAGGGGGGGGGGGCTCCCACGGTGAACGTTGTTAGCGGATGTGCGGGCTTGATTGCCGATGCTTCCGGTATACTGTTCTCGAGTGTTGTGATTGGCCTGGGGTTGGAGCACATGAGCATTTCGCTGTGGAGTAAAAGGGATATATCAGTCTGCAGTCGTGTATCCCTTGGTTGAAATGAAACACCATCGAAACGTGCATACATGCCCATTCTACCAAACCGATCCATCCTCAAATGGTGGAGCCCCGCCTCGGCAGTAGTTCTGCTGTATGCGCACGGAGGTGTGTACCCGCGGGGATGATATAGGCGCGCATTTTTTTCCTTTTTTTGTTGGACGCCTTTGTTTGTCAGTAGCCGTCGTATGTGGGCGGGGAGTACCCAAACACTGACAACGTGCGGATTGTTTGATCCCAAATGACGATTGCATGATGTACCCGAGCTGTATACTTTTCTTCGAGTATACTTTTCACGCCGCGATGGCAGATAATGTGACGCTATTCCCTGTTCCTTTGATCCCCACCCCCTCGCTCTACTGGTAGTCGCGCGCCCCGAACGACTCCAAACAACGACGAAAACACGCTACGGAGATACCGCCTCCGTTTCTCTTCCTCTCCCTCCCCCTCCCTCTCGCCATATCCGCCGTCGTCTGAACAACTACCTTCCCACCAACTCGTCGCCCGCAAGCAGCCCAACCATCATGACGACCACATGATGCCACGTGCAACATCTTCTATTTGTCAAGCCGCCCGTAACATGCCAAGCGCATGGTGGACCACCTGCTGCATAACGATTCAAAAATATCAATCCCACCCCTCTACCCCAGCCCCCCCCAAAGTATATTGGAGCCCCAACCCTGCGGAAAGACGGACGCCCCGATCCCATACGATCACGGTGCGAACTCTCGCTTACACCAAGTCAAACAAGGAAGTATTTTATACTCAAGTCTTGATTCGTCATTCATGCCGATGTTTGCTTAGCCCTTCCCCCCCC